GGTCCACGGGGGCTTCAGTCAGTCAGCCGACGCTCCGAGAAACGTGGTGATTATTTCCATTGTATGCTCGCAGTTCTCCGGCGGGGGGGAGGGAAGGGGGCCTTCCCACCGCACATTCGCATTTCACCTATCTCTCTCTTTCTCTCTCTCTCTCTCTCCTTCTTCCATTTTCCGTATCACTCTTCTCTCATTCTGCCACTCCGCTCCCGCTCTCGCGCTTCTATGTCGCGCGCTATGCCCGTGCAACCTCCGTGCGCCTCCTTCTCGCCCCCACTGACGCGGACCCACTGACGCGCCGCAAGGTCCGCTGAAGCCTCTCCGCCGTGCTGCAGAGCGCCTCGTAGCTCGCGACAGTGGTACGCGAAACGGAGCGTCGCGTCACGTCGTTATCGCGGTATCGAGGATATCGTTATAGCTGGTTACTCCGTGCGAATCGGCGACCGCGGGCACCTCTGCCCGCTCGCGTGTACCGTCTCCCCGCGATTTGGTGTTGAAGTGCGCGACCGGTATACTGACGACGACGCGACCGGATAGCATGAGGTAGCGTGGAAGAAATCGGTGCTACTCTTGCCTTGGTGAACGCAGTTTCCTTCGTGCGATCGTCCATTCGTGGAGATATCTCACCGATCTTTCGACCGCGAACGACGTCCGAAGGTGTGAGCTATACCGAGTGCCGAGAAAAACCCGGTCGGTTCCGATTGAGCGGGTCCGACCGTCGCTCTAGTTATCCGATCTCTCTTTCTTTCTGTTTCTGACTCTCTCTCTCTCTCTCTTTTTCTCTCTCTCTCTGGTTTGTCAGTGACGGTTTTATTCATTGTGCGGAGGTGCGGTTCTTTGATACGTTACAAGTGTTACGTCAATGGCAACGGGGTAGTCCAGGCTACCAGCGCGCGGCCAGGATGATATGAGCACGCTTGGCAGGTGAGTGAACTGACCTCGCGTCCTCGCGTAGATGTGTGTAGATATCGAGACACGTGGTTTTCGATGCGCGATACGGGGATTTAAAAGCGGCCATGAGATCATATTGCAATTACGTCCTATACACGCGCACACACGCAAATTATCTGCAAATATGCCATGTATCTAATCGTCGGATTAGAGATAATCCTGATTAATCTTTCACTCTCCCCACTTGTAGATATTCGAAATTTGTGTTTTTGAAAGATTACAAGTTATAATTATATAATTTACACAACAAGTTATAATTATATAATTTACTTTCTACTGTGACTAAAATAAAATATATTAACAATATTTTTTTTCTTTCAATTAATGGCTGCGCACAATGGAGAAAGAAGAAGGTTAAGAAGGAAGAACATGAATAAATATTAAGATTTCAAGTCAATGATTCAGAAGTTAACATCGGAATACATGATTTCAAATAGGTTTAAATTTTAATATTTATTTCTATTCTTAATATTTTTTCCATTGTGCGCAGGGCCTTAGAATGATAAATTTGCCAAGCGACCGTAATCCAATCTATCAGTGCAATTTAAAACGTTTCATGATATTCATATAAATTGTTGAAAGATTGCAATTAGACTACGAAAAATTATCCGACAAAGTACTAAGTGTCCACGATGCTAGAAATCGTTTCGAAAAAGAACCAATAGCATTATCCATTGGTCGATTTGTTCGAATGTGGTTCGATAATTTTTTCTCTGTTTAAGATCTCGGAGTAATTTGTAGCATCGTGAACACAAGATTAAAGAATTCTTCGTTGACTCTGAATTTGTCGATACGGAGCATCACTGTATAATTTAATTCGACACGATTTCGTTAACGCGCGTGCAACGAGCGAAACGGCACGCGCGCGTACTTGTGAGAAGTGAATTACGATCTGTCGTACGACACGCACGTCTGAAGAAAAGTTCGATGATCGGCAGGCTTCGTCGGTCGCAGCGTCCGGATCGACGTGGCTCTCAACACGACTCGAGACACGAAATCACGGGCTGCAGCGATCGCACTTAATACGAGTCTTCGCCGGTGCGTAATCTGAGTCACGTCATGACATTGTATCTCGCGATACGCGACCACCAGCGTGATAGCGCGAGGGCAACTGGGATTGTGCGTATTTGTGTATAAGTACGTGTGTCGAGTTATGTGAACGCGTGCATGCGTGCGTCGTGCGTGAGCCGTACCCAGTACAGGCGACCGGGTACAGGCGTGTACACACGGGGCCATGTGTTCGGTACGGTGAAGGAGAAAGAGAACCGGCTCGGAGCGGAAGGTCGACGGGAGAGACGAAGAGAGGAGAAGAGACGAAACGAACAAGTGAGGGTTGAGAGAGAGAGTGTGTGTGTGTGTGTATGAGAGAGGGGGGAGGGGGGAGCGTGCTCCCTACGCATCTGACCCAGTGACCCTCCCCGTTGTCCCCCTCGATCTCCTCGTGCTTCTCTATGGGGTTCCATCTACTTTTCCGCAGGCTTCCCACTATCACAGAATATCTTACGCGATCCCACTCAAAATCCGACGACACGTCTCTACTTCCTTCGCGCGAAGAACGACACGAAGGACCCTTGACGTCCATCTCAATTAATTGGAGCATGTGGCACAAATCCTTTCAGCCTTGAAATGATAAACCAGAAGTTTTTGTCGATCGGGCGGACACGAAGCGGATTTCGAAGGAGCGTTTTATATGACATGAGCGTTTCATTATACAAATAAGGAGAGTGTCTTAATCTGCATTATTGCTTATGAAGATACGAATTGTCTCTAATTTTCTACTAACGAGCAATTCTGAGTGACATAATGAAATACAATAAGTGGACTGTATAATTAAATCTATCGCTTATTATCGTGTCACGGAAAAATTGCTTATTCACGTAGCACTCAAAGTGAAACATGAATCTGCAGTTTTTATCCCAATATCAGAAGGCTTCGATGAATCAGTTAGGCGAATATAATTGGGGGTTTTGTCTACAGCGCGCGTATTACCGTTACAATGTCTCGTTAATCGATGTTCCTCGCTCAAAAACGACCCTTTCGAGCGGGGCTTAAGTGCCGGATTGCTGAGTACGCGTTCGTGTAAAAATATCGAGTTATCTCGGACACCATGATAATAAGCGCGAACTTATAAATTCCCGAAGGATATGCTCGACGCGGAGATTGTTCGACACGCGAACTACGTGCACGCATTTGCGTAACAAGAGCGCATGTCGCCAAACGAATCGAGAGACGGCGATATCAAATTAACGCGCGAATGTCCGTCGCTCGGGGTTGTTCGCTTTATTTTTAATCGATTTCCCTGGAGTACGACATCGTCTCGCTTCAAGTTTTGCGAACGATTTTATAGCATTCGCTGAATACGATCAATCTTTTATGCTTTAATCGCTGTTTAAATTAACCGACAGTTCGAAAGCGTCCGCTAAAAAGATCGTTTAAATGCGGAAGCAAATTAAAATAATTGTATATTGATATTTAATGTATGATATTTAATGTCATGATTATATTTTTTTACGAATATTTAAACAAATCCTTAAAGATCCTGATCGCTTATCACGGATTTAAATGACGACAGAACCGAAACATAAAATAATGAAAATTATTGCAATATATATTAAAATAGAAATATTTTCCAATAAAAAACAATATTTGCATTTGATTAAAAACTGTAAATGAAATGTACCGAAAACTCTCATTTTATTTCGCGGAATAGAATAAAATTATATTTATTTCATACAACAACAACAGTTTTCATATAGTTCAAATTGTTTCTTTATTTGGTTAGACATACTTTAATTTCAAATATATAGTTATTTATTGCATATTGATTGTCAGGATACACAAGGAAAAATTTCGGTATATTTTATAAATCTATTATATCAATTTCAAATGTTTTATTAAAAATTACTTAAATTTTAATATAGTTTGTTAGAATTTATTTAATGTATTTTTTCGCTTCTTATGTCACAATTCAAAATGGCAGCGTGTAGACAGGAAAACAGATAATGTATTCTGTTACACTGCGTGAGAGAAAAAAAGCTGCATTACAGTTACTACAATTTGACTATAATTTATTATATTTTTGAGACTCATGAATATTTTCATTAAAAAAGTTATACAGTTTATGGGTTATGTCCATCTTGATACATCATTAAATGCCATCGTGAACATTGCAATTCATTTTATCAGTGCGAGAAGCAACTTGATACTGTAATTTATGATCATTATTCTTACAATTTATACCTAGTTTTCGGTGCCAATTAGACATTTTTTGGTACAACTATTATATAAATCTAATTATTATCACTAACATTCTAGCAATAATAACTACAAAAATGAAACTGATATCTATAATTATTTTACCATGCAATTATAGTCACGATTATCAAACATTTCTCAGTACAGCGAATATACAAAGCTATTATTCAATATAATATGCAATTCTACTAAAGAATTTATTAATTATGAACAGTATCTCATCCTAAATAGATGAAGTATTAAAAAATGCTATGTGGTTGTTAAATTTACAATCTATTCATCGGTAGCCTCCATAGAATTTCGCATCTTTGAGGAGATAATTAAAACCTGGGTACAATATATACGTACAAAAGCTCTTTATACGACTAAAGGTGCAGCGAAGCTACATTATACAGAGGTCCCGCTATAATAAATTACTTCAGTCGCACGAGCGCTGAAGCTGCAGCCCCTCTATAAACTATGTACATGATGTGCATTATATCGCATTGCGCTCAACGATATTGTCTGCGCGATAATCCATATGCAGTATCTATCACGATATTTTATTAAAGCCAATTGCTCTCTTAGTATAAATCTAGTTACCTAACGCGCGTTGCGACTCGAAATACCGGCGCGACCTCGGCTAATATACGTGGACAGCCCTATAATTGTGCGTGACACCGCACGCTATACAAATGAATTTGAGTACGCGTGTATAAAACTTGATAATGGAGATGTATTGCTTTGATTACGTAACTAAACTGTATGTTAGCGCATTTAACGTACGAGACAAAGCACGATTCTAAAATGTCAAAATACGTAGAGGTCGAGTTTCGACATTCCGGATCACTTGCGAATGATAGTACTGATTCGCATATTATTTTAAAAGTGCGTCTAATCAGCGTATCCGTCTAATCTATGAACAATATAAACTATACTGATAGAAGGTTAGTTACGACATGTAGCTTTAAGCCTTCCAAATGCAAACAAATTAACTATTTATTCGTATAATGAATTATTTACTCATGTCACGGAATCCGTATATGCGTTACGTATATGTACATAGCATGTAATCGCAATTTATAAAGCGTACCTGTCTGGACATTACCGAATCGCGCAATCACATTTCGCAGCTATGAAAAATTTATGTCTAAAAGTCTATGAGATTTTAAATATTTGCGTGTCGACTTGTCAACGTAATTGTGTGCCCTGATTTCGAACTTATCTCAATGAAATTATACGTATGAATTACAGTGTTTTAATAACGCAATATCGCAAACGATATCGTACTTGACTTTGACCGACAAACGCCAGGATGTGAAATACGTTTGTTAGAAGAAAAATTCTTACTCATCAACACGATCACATCCGCTAAGGTCAAGGCCATTGACAAGTCATTAGAGAACGATAATGTGATACGAATATAAATGTTAACTCTTCCTTTTTGGATTATTGCACATGTCATCACGAGTTTTTGCAGCTTATTTTTAAGCAATGCTCACCGCGCAAAAGTACTATTATTCGAGACAATCAAAGATCTCTGAAACTCCCGTGATTCATTAAGCGTTTGCTTGCACTTAAGTTTGTATTCCAAATTTTCACTTTCTTTCTCTTTAACGCTGAAATATATATTTATTTTATTTTAATTGTAAACATTTTTAGAAATTTCAAACACCACGAACTACTCTAACATCGGCCTATATACTTTTAATTAGAGAAAAAGCAGCGATACGTATAAC